TTTGGGGCTTCTTGTCTTAAATTCTGAATTCTCACTTCATAATATTTAGCTCTGCATGCCTTTCTTTCCCGGTTAACCAGATTTCGGAAGAACTTGAATTGGGCAGAGTCGCCGCCATATGATTTGAACGCTTTTTGTCTTTTCAAAATCATTGACTTCAGCTTATGGTCAATCCAAGGAGCGTCCGCACTACAGGTGCGAATTTCTTTCTCAGGCATCAGAATATCAAGCCCTGTATGTACAGCAGTGTGGAAAATCTCCCACTTTTCCTGGCAACTATCCGTAGGAGCGAACAATAAAGGCCAATCAATAGAGGTTAGATATCTCCCCAAGGCAGCCTTGTTACTCTCACGTAAGTCACGCCTTTTAACAACGTGCTTTCTGTTTACATCACGTTTACCATCTTTTGGCGACACAACAACAGCGTTGTGATCCGACAACCCGAATGGAGGGTAGGCTTGTGGCGGATTATAGTATTCTTGCATGTTAGTGAGCACCAAGTCTAATATGGCATCCTTCCGGGTCTGAACTTGAACTATTTGCTGGAGACGAAAGTGATTCAGCAAGCCCTTAATATCCAAGCGGTTGAAATCTCCTGTGACGACCAATCCACAGTTGGGATATCGCGTCTCCGCTAGGACGAGGGACTGGAACAAATGCTCCCGGATAGATGTCCCATCGGCCTTGGGGGTGATAGATCACTGCCGCGATTATGCAGGAAAACCCCGGGGAGGCGGTTTGGTCTTAGATGGAGCCACAATGTCTCATGATTATCACAGCACTTTAAATCGTTCAGTTGTTTATATTTGCACCGTTTTTCTTGAATATAGACACACACACCACCGTGTTCTAGTGTCTTCCTGTCCTCACGCACAATAGCAAACCCGGGGATGTCAACAACGGTGTCCAACACAGAGTCCTTTAGCCAGGTTTCCGTAACGAACGCAAGGTTGATATGATTACGAGTGATAAACTCGCTAACTTCATCCATTTTGGGGGCTAAAGACATGACATTCGCTAACATGATCTTAGGAACTTTGGGTGACCATTCAGTACTGGCTGCTCTGTTTTCCTTGGTGCAATCTATAACAATGCAGTTGTTTAGATTGCTACGTGGAAAGGTGTCATTTTGAATATTTAATATGTTCGCTAGTTGGTTATGTAAATGAGGTTTCCTGTGAAGGAAGTTCTTGGCAAAGAAACACCCATTAAAGTTCGGAAATTGCTGAGTCTTGCGTGCTCCATTCCCCATGCAAATCCCAATCTGCCTTCTACTCATTCCTTTTACATCCTAAATTAGTGTGTATATTCTCAATACCGTTCTCTGTACATTCCCTAACGTTCCTAATAGGAGAAATTGTTAAGTAATCAAGAGTTCCTTCAGTTTTGGGTCATTCTCTTTCTCCTATTGACCTGAATGTTTAATTCAGGCGTGATAATGTAGGGAGAAATAAGATGGTAGCCACTTTTGAAGGTGAGAGGGATAATCTATGTACCCCCAAACATGAAAGGGAAGGAGGCAGGTCAAAGTAAAAACATGACTTTAAAAAGGAGATTGCCCTTTAATTTCAGTCCTAATTAAGGGAGTATCTTTGGTTTTCCAGATTCCCTTCTTTTTAAACTCACTTATCGTGTGACCAATTGCTTAACATATCAAATTTTTCTTTGTAGAATAGGATCAGCATTTGCAAAACACCATGCACTATTGAAATCTTGAGCCTGAGCACTTATTGCCATGGAAATTACATGTTAAAATGTGGTAAATATTACAAAATTAAATAATTGCACGTAAGTCATGCAGTTACAAAGCTGAAAAGTTTGAAAGCTGAAAATATACATTACAATCATCAAATCTAATACATTTAAATAAAAACTGGGTCAATAGCTCCAGAGCTTCTCCCATACATTCGTGTTTGCAGGAAATCATTACATTTTGTCTCGTGGGAGAGGAAGAAGGGGGTTGCCACTGTACAAATAGTAGTTGTACCAAGCACAAATACATCGTTTCAGTTCTCTCTGTGCAGGTCACATGAAAGGTACATTCCTGTGTAGGGACTGACATTCCAATTACCTCTGTCAGCAAACTGTTACTATAAGAATTACAAGCTCAAGTTATTTAAAAAAGTTATTTTTGTTTAAGGTGATTTCACTCCTTTTCAGGGCCATCTTATACAGATACTGAACTGAATGAAAATCTATTACATTTTTACAACCCGCTTCCTTCATCAAATCACCTTAATCAGTTCCCCGCCCATGCTACAAGTAACACTTCGTACGATCGGTTATACGATAACACACAAAACAAAATTTTCTGGGCTTGATGGGTTACTTGTACTATTTCAAAAACTCGTGCTTCGGGTTTCATCAGGTTCCCAAACGCGAGAAAACATTTCAATCCACGAGGCCGCAGGTCTCGTGGTTTTATTGTTTTCTCGTGTTTGGAAACCTGATGAAACCCGAAACCCGAGTTTTTGAAACGACTTCTCCAAAGAAACGTTACAAAATTATGTAGTGTTGTATTTTTCCCATTTTTCTTTAAAATTCCTTGTATGTGTAATTTTTTTGTATTCAGTCAGCATTCATTGTATTTGTGAGTTTTTGTTTTTGATTATCCAATAGTTTCGCGTTGCACCAAATTTGTACTCCAAAGGCGTTATGTACTTGAAGTGATTTACAAATTGTTTTTGTAATGGCCGAAGGAAGGTTCGCTTCCCGAAAACAATCGAGGAAGAAGAACTTTGCGTAGAGAGAGCAGTACCGAAGTCTACCAGATATAAAAATAGGTGGGCAGTAGGCATTTTGAGGATTGGCAACGAGTGCGAAGCGTCAAGTTTCGAATACTTTGGTGGAATTTTTAAAAAGAGTATTAATATGCAGATTAAGAACAATTTTATCACTAGTGGTGAAAACGTGATGAGACACAAGTGATGAAAACGTGATGAAACACTAACGATAAAAACGTGGTGAAACACTAGTTATTTTCAACTGGTGTTTCATTGAGTTTCAAAGTCATCCACCAGAACCGAATGGGTCAGAACTAAATTTCATAGGTATGGAGATGAAATATTTCTTAGGTATAGGAATGAGAACTAAATTTCATAGGTATGGGCCACTCTGCGGGCGCTGTTAGCTTAATGCCATAACATTTAGGTGATACAACTGAGTATATAGTAAATAGTAAATGTAATATAGTAAAATAGCATATAGTTAATAGTATATAGAATATAGTATATAGTATATAGTATCACATCTTGCCAGCGATACAACGTACGTTTTGACTGATTTGTTAGTAATACTTACTATGAGATGTTATTATTGGACTTTTAGTTGAAATTTGCACCTGCGATGGCGATGACAATAGCAATGGCGATGACAATAGCGGTGACAATGACATTAGCAATGGCAATGAAAATAGTGATGACGATGACATTAGCGATGGCGATGACCATAGCGATTGCGACGCCAGTGGTGATGGCGATGACATTAGTGATGACGATGACAATAGCGATGTCGATGACAATAGCGATGCTGAAAGTGTAAGAGAACGGAGAGTCTTCAATTAGAACGATATGTTTATTGAGCTCTTTCACTGTTTTACGGCTTTCAATTCCTCTTAGCACATATTTGCATACTTTTCAAAATATTGGGTAGCGAATGGCAAAAAACGCAGACGGCGTAAAGGTTCGAAATTTCAAGCTTGCCATCATTACTCAATTTTTTAAAACTTAGATGAAACGGACATTTTGTAATAAGCGGACGCCAACGAGGATCCTTTTGGTTTCCTTTCAACACAGGTTTTACTAATTGTGTTATAATACAATACGTCGCCACTTTTACGAAGTACTTATCTTTTCGGTGAGCAGAACATTAATTAAATTCCAACCCAGTATTGACTATTTTTTCAACAAGAGAATGTATCCACTCTCTCTGGCGACATACGAGAACTGAGATAACCCTTACTAACCTCGCTATGGAGTAGTGGTTGCTAGGTTTATCGAAATGTCCGCCATATTCGGATTAGGGGCAGGATTGTAAGTTTATTCTGTTCACTGCAGATTTTGCATTGCATTGAAATGCAGCCCTTAAAACTTCACAGTTCAAACAGCTGGATAGTTAAGTAGGATATAATAAGCATTAAATTGATTCCTCCATGCGAAGAATAAATAAGCCTGCAAGTCTATTCTATTTTTTTTTATAAAGCGATAATTGGCATGTATCTTTACCATCATGAGTCACTAGTTCTTCACAAAAGATAACGCGCTTCACATCATCACGCGTTATTATCTAAAATAGCAATCAGACCGATGATTCTTTGCAGTTGGTATTCGCCACCATTTTGTTCAATCGAAAGGATTAACTAACTACATGAAAAAATGCGATGGTTGAAAATTTCAGAACTGTTGTAATTCGTACTAGTGATAGTAACAGAAATATCTATAACCTTCCCCTGCTCACAAGGTCAAGAGTTAGACATTTACTCAAAACAATATGAAAAAAGAAAAGAAAAACAAAATAACAACAACAACAACAAAAAAGAAATAACCTACCCTTGGAAATTTCACAAATATAAGCGGGCCGGTTTTCCCAACTTCCTCTATCACAACTGCCAAACACGCCTCGTTCGCCATTACTTGACCGCTTGTACATGAAAGCCGCGTTGTGTTCACCACTTGGCTCCCCTTTTCCCCATTTGCAAATGGTCAGCGGTCTTTCACTCACCCAGGTCCAATTCCCAGCCTTTTTTGATAAACCAATACTCCATCTATTTATATAGTGCGTATTATTTCGCCTTTGAATCTCGTCATTGATGAAATTCCATTCTTCTTCAGTTTCAATGGAAACTAGGTCCCCTCCTTGGCTTTGGCAGATGTCTCTGTTCAAGTCCCAGGACCCTCCTTCCACCGGAAATATGTACCAAGAGTTTTTAAAAGTTATATTTGGGCAGTCTACAAAATGATATAAATGAAAACAAAAATTACGATAATTATGATAAACAAAGTGATAAATATAATTATGATGATAACGTAAAAAGATTATAATAAATCACAATAAATATTAAAAAGAAAACGTCACTTTTTACCATATGTTTCCGATTTTTTTAACATCTGCAGTTTATGTTTAATTAGGGTCAATTAATATGATACATCTTTCTTCAATACGGCATCCGCCATCTCCGAGCTGCTTTTCTGAATTAGTTAACTTCACACCACCTAAGATTGTCTGTGAGCTCATGCGATTTTGGAAGTAGAGTTTTTAAATATTTATTAGTTCCTCCTTGAGCTGATACCTCCCAACCACCTCCTTCCCCCTATTCTTCCTCCTTCATCTGAACAGACGTAAAAAACGTAAAATTCAATGTGAATGTAAGTTCTCAAAAAATGTGCAACTGAACTCCTATCTCTGCCCACGGGTACGGTTACGCTTGCGCGAGTCGCATACATCCTTAACCTCGTTACCAATTTTGATAAATATATTTCGTTTTGCCGGCTGGGCAGTATTTTTAATATTAAAACAAATCGAGCCGATTAATAACTTATTAATTCTCTCTTTCTCTGTCTCAAATCACTTTGGCTGCCAGGAAAAAGAAATTGGTTTCCAACTGATTTTTGTTAGCAAATATGTCATTAAATGCGTTCACGCGCCGCCTAAAATTCGTTTGTAATTAACCTAAACCTTCACCAGAAGTTACTCAGAAAGTTAAAACGTGAGGTATTTATTTTCAATTGAATTAATTAAAGGGACTTTCATTCATTTTAAATCTGAGTTCTCTTAAACAATCTGTTCCTTGAAGGCAGAGAGCGAAGTCTTCAGTTCTACACTTTAAATACGCTTTCGGTAAGTCTTTGCAAGTCAGTTCAATATGCACATTTGTACCGTAAAGTACACAATAGAAAACGACGGAATTTAACGAGAAAAAAAAATGCATTCAAATTTTAAAATTCCCCTTTTGATCAAAGACCAGATTTGCATACGTGATTACATCAAAGAAAAGAGCAAACTCCCTCAACTTCAAACCATAGATTTAAATTTACTTGTGACCACTTTCCATTTATTGACTGAGCTGAGGTATTCTTCATTCATTAATAGTCGATGGAAGTGAGTAATACTTCCATAAGATCATTGACTGCTTTTGGAGAAAAAATTTTCGCGACAGTCATTGAACTTAAGTTTGTTTCCCAAATCAGTGCCGTTGTTGTTTTTCATTCTTTTTAAAAGGTGTATACGCTTTTTTTTTTACGCGCTCTCTACTTGACAGGTGGGAGATTGTGACAGATACTTGTAAAAAAAATGTTTCAAAGTTTGTTAGGAAGCCTTTTGAATCACCTTTTTCAGTAAAAACACACACACACACACACAAAAAGGATTTCGGTGAAACCTCTCTCTAATGCTTCAACTACCATTTTCTCGCTCAAAAATTATTCAGTTCATGGAGGATCTTGCCGTAATTACAGATAATTTTTTTCGAAACATATGTCCCGGATTTTTTCATGGACATTATGTTCAGCCACTAATACACGCTTTAAAGTTCATTTATCGCTCACTCGTACAAGTTAGGTGGACTGAGCATATTTTGTGAACAATATTTTCACTTTAAGAAACAAGAGCAATTTTCCTGACGCAAGTGCAAGACTGTAATGTTTCAGTATATCACTTTATTGTTAGAATGGGATCTTACCACCGGGTATTTCACAAATATAGGCTTTATCATCAAAGGGATCGATACCACTAAAGAGGCCTCCATTCCTGGATATTTCCGCGCAATCGTCGTTACCATTTGGCTCAGAATCTCGCCATTTCGAAATATTCAGCTGTTCTCCACTCTTCCAAATCCAAACCCCGCCTCTCTTCCATAAACCAATGTGCCATGCACTAGTATTCCAAGTACCACGCTTTTTAATCTCATGACTGATAAATTGCCATTCTTCTTCAGTTTCGATGGAGACTAAGTCACCTCCCTGGTAATAACAGATACGCCAGTTTTTAAACCAATGTCTTCCTCTCTTCGAAAATATGTAAGAGGAGTTTTTGAAACAGGTTGCCTGGCACTCTATGGGGAAAAGATAAAGGAATAAATAAATGATAGTGATATAATTCTGATGATGGAGACGAATGAATAAATAATATAATAATATAAATAAAAATATAATAATAGAATAAATAAATAAATGAAAATATGCATACTGACGATAATAATACATAATAACGATAATTATGAGGACGAGACAGCATCGATAAAAACAGTAGGCATAAAAACCCTCTACCTCACCTCAAGGAAAAATTAGAATTAGGCTAGGTTTTAAAGGTGGAATTTGGGGATAATTAGATCAGGGTAATAGCACCGTTAGTCTTTGACTTTTTTGTTTTGTTTTCCAACTTAAGTTTTTATCGCAAGCCGATGTAATTCCGGCAGGAAGTCTACGACTGACCATTTTAATAATTCAGTCAGATCCCTTTTTTCCAGTTCATTTTGAGGTACATAAATATGAAATTAATTGGAATTGCACTGCCTTACCTGTTCCTGGCAATTCCATCATCAAATGAAGGATGACTGTAGAAGAGAAAATAAACAAAGAATATCATTTCATTGTTATGTCGAAAATAACATTTAAAACAACAAAAAAGTTTTTTAGATTTCGAGATGGAATAGTACAAACGCATTTATTTTGCTAAATGCACTTTAAAATCTACCCATGACTTTTCTTACCTTCCCTAAGGAGCTGACGGAGAAATTAAAAAAAAAAAGTGCGGCATCTCCGCAACCAACTGAACAAAACTTGTTACATATGGAAGGCATTTTTAAGGATACGGTTGAACTTCACGAATGCCCTTGGGATTCGTTTGGTTGGCGTTACCCGCAAACGTAACTTGCAAAGTATTGTGTTGAGGGCAAAGGGGATGAATTAAATTGCCTAAATCAGCCCAAAATTCACAAGATGTAAAAGAACAACCAACGGAGCGGCTAGATGTGTCCCTATTCAAAACTAGTCCAGATATTTTAAAGGTTAAAAGCACGACTGTTTATTGCCATGCAAATCCTTCTATTTCACCCACCCATTGCACAACGTAAACATAATTATTTGCATATTCGCAGATGCTCACTTTGTGAACTTGAGCTTCCTGTGGTTAGACGTCAAGGTAGATAGACAAAAAACAAAGAAACAAAACAAAACAAAAAACATACTTCTCTTTATCGTTATCTTCTTTTACCCGAAAACACAATCTCGAACAGGGTTAAGGCATTTTTAGTTTTTATTTTATTTCTTCGTAATGATCATTTTATTGTTCTAAAACAAAAAAAAATAATCAAAATAATAATGGTTCCGCTGTTTCCAGAGATTGGTAAGGTTCCGCCGTCTGCTGATCTGCAGTTTAGTGACAGCCCATAATGTTCTTGTTTGCCTTGTTGTTTTCTTTTTACGTCTAAGGCAATTGCGGAAGATTCGTTCAGAAAAAATAGAATCCCCCATCGGGTTTTTAGGTTGGTATGTTGCAGAGTCCGAAAACGGAAGTTCAAGGCAATCCGTATGGTTTGCATACTCCATTATCGCGTAATAACAAAACACGCCTATAAGTGACCACATGCCAAGTTACGTCAACACTCAAAATTTTTCGCAATGCCGACTGCCAATAGAAACACAGAAGTGTCCTGCGGTGTCTCAAGAGGCTATCAGCAAAAACAAATTTTGCGGGTAACAATCTAACAGTTGCCCGTACCAAAACGTAGTTAAATAGTCCAAGAACTCTTTCCTCTCTTTATCTTTCGTTATTCACAGTCAGTGATCTAAAGTGCAAATAGCTGTTTTCTATATTATTTAGAGTAGACTATTGGAGCCAGGGTACCTGGCAAGGGTCACTTGCCGACGACGCGACGGTAATTGCAACATTCAGTATTAAACAGCATGTCATTTTTCCCGTTCTGTGTGGTTAAAGACAGAGTAACATTAAGCAGAATCACAAAACGCTGTTTCAATTCATTCGAGTGAAGCCTCTTAGTTTTTTATATATAAATATTTTTCCATTCGCATTTTCCCATCCGCCATCCACACCCGCCATCTACAGTCATCCGGTCCACGTTTTACAGACACCCGGATGTTTTGCCTCACAAAACACCTCGGTAGTTCTTTCTGGTGACATGTTCAAATTGACTACTCACAAGTTGGCAGGCTAAAGAATTCGGTTTGATAAGACGTCTTTGATAATTACTCACGTACGTTTTGATATTAAGGAAACCTTTTATTTGAAATTATTGTTAAAACAGAAATGCTTAGTTTGACATTACCTCAAAACTACTTAAGTTGGATTGGGGCTTATACCTACCACGTTACCACAGTTATTTAATAACGATATAGCTGCTTCTCAAAGCACGCCCTTGTACTACAGGAACAAGAAAATTTAAAAGGTTCTATCGCTATCTGCTGCCGTATTTTCTTCCGAAGGCCTTTGGGGAAACAACAAGTTCGAGTCACGTGCGAGAACTCTGAAGAAGTCTTTTTTTTTTTCGGACTATGCTTGCGATACTAATAAACTCAACAAAAATTTATGTTCTAAAGAGAAATTTGGTACTCACTCAACAAATTTATTGAATATAGGACGATTCCCCAAATCTGACAAGCCTTTGTCAACATCTCACTTTTCTGTTTGAGTTACGTTTCTCTCAGCCTTACGCTCAACCAATTCTAATCTTTTTTTCCCCAAATTTCCTTCTGGCCGAATCAGGTTGGTAGCAATTCTTGTTTGGGAAAACCTTTTTCTAGATCAGTCTCATGGTAAAAGAATAAGCTTTCAGAGTGTGTTGTTTTGAGTCAAAATCAGCGTTGTGTTGCTAATTCATTATGCAGGAAATTGGATGTCATTTACATTTTTGACGTCTTGTCTCCCGTTAAATTCAATTCTAAGAACTCAGACTTTTCACCTGTTGAAAAGAAAGCATAGCAAAAATATCAATTAATAGCGTAAGAAATCGTTTCTCTCCGTTACCCATTATTCTTTTGAAATAATGGAGTGGACTAAAATGTTAAATAGTCATAAATAGTCAGGCTCGAGAGAGTAAATTTTTGGTATCGATTGTAAATGTCCACTTTTGCGGTCGACTATTCACCATTGCGAGTCTTTGTTTATTTAGCTATTTAAGAAACCATCTCAGTAAATTTTAGAGCAGTAGCATAACACGAACTAACTCGGAACAAATATGGTTTTACTTAAAGTAAGTTTCTAATTTCAATTGATTCTCAAAGCTCAAATGACTGTTCTGCCTTACTTTACCTTTTTACAATGCTCTTCTCCATAAGTAGTTAGATACTGTTTGTATTTTACTTTTCATTTGGATACATCAGTCTGGAATTTCGAGGTATGCCGAGCAGACCAATTAAGAAATACCACTACGACATACAAAATGGGTGAGTAATCAACACTATCTCAAGGACACTTCGATTTGAAACCCCCCCATTTGTTATCGCGCGGCTTTCTTGGTTTTGCAAAATAACAGGTCAGTTACCAAAAATAACCACGTCAGCTTCGATAATTGTCCTAAGATTATTAAGGAAATAAGCCAGCTATCGACTCGCGTTATGAAAAATTATGGGGTGTTGATATTGTTCACATCTCCCTTCGAAGCTTTGTCTTTGGGCAAAATGTTCCCTTTTCGGACAGTCTATAAGCGGCGAAAATCATTAGCCTGAGGCAATTTATTCACAAATTAATGAGATATCAAAGATGCGTATCCCGCCAAAGAAGGACGAATCACGCAAGTTCCTCGATATATTGTTGTACCTATATCTCTCTCGATGGAGATGTCCTTAAGATAATCGCGAGATAGCTCTGAAATCTCATCTATCCTTTTTCTAAAATTACGAAAGGAGAAATGAGGTACAGACACATGGGGGCTCTGGCCCGCCTCTTTCTAATTTATGTGAAAAACAAAGCACTTTATTCGAAAGCCTTCTTATATAGTACTTCTGCATAGTGCTGTAAATTGGATCGATCTGCACCACGTATCACACTAAAATGATACATTATTTTTGCAGTGTTTAAATACCCACATCTAAATATGAAGGGTAGGGCAAGGGGGGGGGAGTTGAAATAGATCTAAAAACCTCTTCCCTTTCTAATGGCTTCAATTTTCACTTAGCAACTGCTCTCTGGGTTTTTTTTCCCGGAAAACAAGTCTGATGAAAAACCTTTTTGTTTTTTCACGTTTACAGCGTTCCTTCACTTAAGATAAACTCAGGGCGTTTCTTGCCCAGGTGCATCTTTCCCGAACATCGAAGTTAGTTCCATTTCTTCCTAGTAACTCGCAATTTTTAATCCGTTGAATCCGCTACGTTTAATCAGATGCAACTGATCCTGAAGAAATCTAAAATATTATAATTCGTTTTTGTCACAAATTCAATTATTTGTTTTTTCACTCACTTATTTATCATAAAATTTAAAAGTCAGCTTTAACCGCTACTATTACCAAAGCAAATAGCATTTGTTATTTTATACGCATTTTAATTGCTTAAGAGCCATTTTCCGAGAAAGTCGAAAATCGCATGACACTCGTGAAAAAAACGAATTCTTTTTCCTTTCGCCAAAACATCCCTTTCAGTAACCTTATTGAAGAAAAAATAATTTTGGGTTCAAGCGATTCATTGTACGGGAGAAATTACAAAAAGTTTGAAAAATCGATTTTTTGCTGGTTTTTCGTACTCAAAACAACAGAATCCGACCGCAACTTCGAGAAAACGGTGAACGCATAAGAAACAATCCCTAACATCGAAACTTCAGCCGAGTATTATTTCGTACTTACTCTTTAATTTCCTGAAAGAAATTTGAAGAAAGAAGTTTTTAACATTTACAATCGACAAGTTTAAAAAGGTCAAATTTGTATTTCTGGAAATGTTAATAAATGAAGGCGAACTTTAACTGTTGTAAAAGGCCATTGGTATATGCCGCTTCCTAGTAAAACCCATATAGAATAAAACCTTGGCTATTGAACTAAATTACTGGAAAGTTTTAGCTCTGGAAATCCAATACAATCCTCACTCTAAAGTAAGCAATTTGAGTATCTGAGTAAATAAAATTTATGCAAATTAGACGGCCCGCTGAATGAATTCATATTTTTAACGCAAAGTTTTGTTGAACGAACAACTTACCATTGCTTGTTGTGATAGAAGTTAAATCCATCTCTCAATCTGTTTGTCCTGTGAAGTGGCAACTCATCCATACCTGATTTGACCAAAATGTGTCCAGAAACTTCAGCGCTTGAGCTATGTAAACACTTCCCAAGCAGCGCTTATTACGCATCATCAGACGCTTCAGTAATAATGAAACCCGATTATGTTTTGTCCGAAAATAACATACAATGATGAAAATTAACCACTTCTCAAACCGCACAGTTAACAAGGTGAGTATTACTCTTATTGAGCGAACAAATCAGATACTAGACGGGATAACAAGATCATATGACGCATAATTTAGCAAACGTGCAGAGATTGGTCACGCTAGCTTGTCGCATACGACGGTACGTGCTATACTTCGTACACAATGTAAACAGACAAAGAAGTAATTACAGCTGTCCCAATGAAAAAATGTACAACCGTACGTCTGTTTATATATCATCAGTGTAGAAATATTCGACTCTAGGAACAATATTAATAAAACATTTCCAGGTCAAATGCTCCTGGAATAAAATTTATATATTGTCACGAACTGTTTCGCCACTTACTATTGCACGCGCCTTTACGATTTTATTTTTAATTGAATTATTTCCGTCTAGTATTACGAAATGCTGAAACAGCGTTAGAGGAGTTTTTCTCGTTTGTTGGGAGAGCTTTGTTTTTTGTCATGGCTTCGGCAACGTTTCACTCATGTAGTTTTTCTGGTTTATTACACGACGCCACACCCTGTGGTTTAAGCAGCGATTATCCAGACCAAGTTGAAGTTCTCGCTTTAAGAAATTGTACAAGGGACATGTCGAGGCACTGCGAGCTGTATGGATTAAAAGCAGATACAGCACTTGACACTGAATGGAAACTGCTGTTAGCAAGAGCAGGTAAATCTTATGTACTGTCTTACCGTCTTATGTAACGGCTAATAGTGGTGTACATTTCCATCATCTCTTTATCACAGACCTCACGATGGTCATGTTATTCTAAGAAAATCTTCGGGTGCTTTCCATTCAGCCCAAAATTCCGGAAGTTTCGGTTAGAAATCAAATGTAATGGACCATTTCGGTTCGGTCCTACCAGAATATTTGGGAACGCCTTTGAAGCTGGTCCACTTTGACCGGTCAGGTTATTTCGGTCGGTCGAACCGAAATGTCCCCTTCCATTTGACAAAATTATTGTCCTCTTTTTGTATCCGGCTTGCAGTACAATGAGCAAACGAGTTCATCTCTTTAAAAATCGCAGGCTTTCTGCGATGTTAATATTTTGCAAACATAATATTAACTCTTACGATAGCAAAAAAGATCTTTATTCACCATCCCCGCTCCGCCACCCACGCACACACACCTGTCACTGATACACAGACTTTAAAGACCTTTTATGAAAACGCGACCTCAAGATCTCCTAGCACACGAGCCTCTCAACTCGCTCGTGATGTATGCAATGGAAAATTTTCCCTTTACCTTTGTTTAGGGGTATTTGCAGTGGAAGAGTCCCACTTGTCATTGACAATATGCCCTCGCCACAGAGCGGAATTTGGTATGCGCTGGAGATCCTCAAAAGTGAAGTGTAGCATTCCACTAGAAATAGCTGCTCACGAAACAGCCTAGGTCAAAGGCGATCGGCATTTGGGCAGCGTTCTATCTGCATTTATTTTAAACACTGAAGGAATACTTATTCAAGTTGGATTGCGTAAGTTTATCGTAACACATTTGTAGCTAAAGTACACGCTTTAATTTTAAACGCGCCAGGGCGTAAAACAACATATGCACAAGCGTTACAATACCCTTTATTCTCCTGTTCCCCTCCCCCCAAGGAAGAAAATGGCTTTGAAGAATAGTAAAGAAATCGGCGATGGCCTTTTAACAAGGTTAACATTTATTTTTGACACAGCTCTTTGCAGAATGTGCAAGCAACATTTCGCGGAGACAAACCAACATCAGAAAGTGACACCCGCACCAATGATTGAAGTTACTCCATACGTAGAACTAGAGACTTCAGAAGCAAATGTAAGTAAGTAAACGTTAACCTTGGATACAGAGTGATACTGGTCAATCTGTTGAAGAGTTCGCAGAAAGCTTTGGACGTCTTACAATCGCTGATGACACCTTTCTGTCGCCAGACACAATAAGCACAGCTTCCACTCAGAGTGACGAGCCCTCACCTGTGATCTTACATGAGCCGCACGTTAAGCTGAGTGAGTTCCCGGCAGCATGCAAACTTGAGCCGCTTGGAAAGCCATGGATTTCTTGGATTGATTCCTCTGAGCGTACAAGAGAACGTCAGACAAGGAGAGCCACAGAAATAGTAGCAACTGTACTAAAGAGCGTCACCCCTGATAATGCTGGTGAACTCTGGCGACGTCTAGCCTCTTCTACGGCTATGAACAAGGCCCTAGGTGTAAGCGAGTTGTCACATTCAGAGCATTTGTATTTAGAGGCCCTAGCAGAAGCGTACCAGAATGCAACCAGCTGGGATACCCGTAGACAAGTGCTTTTGATTATGGCAGGGGTTGGAACTTTCAACAATATTTCCCGTTATATCCCGGGGTTGACGAGATACCGATACTCCGTGGCTAATCTTCATCGATCACAGTTTGGCCGAGGCGCTCAAGTTCCACAACAGTCTACCACACGAATACGAGTAGACTTGAGGCAGCTTGACCACTTTCTTGGTTTCATCACAAGCCCGCATCTTTTTCAGGACTTTCCATTTGGGCAAAAACATCTCAAGCTTTCGTCTGGTGAGGTTATTCAAGTACCTAACGTAATCCGTATGATGATACCCGAGCGAGTGGTACAACAGTACACTCAGTACTGTTTGAAGATCAACTTCAGACCATTCAGCGGAACTACTATGAGACGGGTACTCTTTGAGTGCATGTGCCTCTGTAAGAAATTCACTGCAGGGCTTAGATTATTTTGCAGCTGAAGGTGCTCGCGCATTTGATGATCTCGTGGCCCTCGTACGCCAAATAGGGAAATTAGGTTCCGGCAAGGAGTGGGAGACTACAGTTGTGCAAGCAAGCAGTATTTGAAGGGGGACTATAGGGTAATGTGAATTCTGACTCCAGCAAGACAGCTTGAATAAAACTAAAAGTAAGTACTTATTTTATCTCGTCAACAAAATCATTCCGTAAAAAAAAAAAATTTGTACTCTTTTTCTTCTCTAAATGGTGCACGTGTAACTAGCTTACATAAATTCTCGAGATTAACAATGCACGCACGAGGATAGTCGAGGATAGTCTTTTCTAAGGTTAAGGTTAAAAGTTATTTGCCCCCCTACGTTAATAATATATGTTAGATTAAAAAATCATTTGATTAACTATTATATTGAAGTATAAGCACAGACAAACAGTAATCTCAGTTTTGTTTTATCAACAGGTTCATGTCACAAGCCCCTCTAACGTAGCAGACCATTGTGTGTTGTTTGCTCTTAGCGACTGTAGTGATTCAGATTACCAGCAACAATGCAGTCACCAACACACTAATCTTTGTGACCGTTGTCAAAGTCTTCAGGAAACTCTGGCAAAGATTGAACGGGTCCTTGGCGAGACGACCTTTCCGACTCAGGACGCGAAAGACGAAGCGCTATTTATATTCCAGACAGCCCAGCTGGCCATAATGTCCTGGAAATGCCACATCCTTAGATCAGCTAACCAATACCAAGCGAGAATAGATACACTGGAGAAACTTGACGACAACACTGTCTTGATAATTAACGACTGGGCCATGAAGTTCCTGCCACAAAAATACAGAGAGTCCCAAACCGACTGGTTTGGTAAGCGAGGTATCTCCTGGCACGTTTCTGTCGTCTACCGTCGTGTGAGCGGGGTACTCCAGTGGCAGGGCTTTCTGCACATAGTCCAGTCGTGCAATCAAGGCAGTGCTGCAGTGGTTAAAATCATGCAGGATGTCCTGAATACCATCAAGCTGGAACACAGTGAGATTAACAAGGCGTTCTTTCGCTAGGATAACGCAGGATGTTATCATTCGTCGTCCACCGTACTCTCATGCCCAGTGATATCCTCCTCCACCGGCATCGAAATCAAGCGCATTGACTTTTCTGACCCACAGGGTGGAAAAGGTGCCGCAGACAGGCTCGCTGCAACCTGCAAGAATCACGTCAGGACTTTCATAAACGAAGGAAATGACGTGGCCAATGCCGAACAACTGAAGAGTGCTCTTCTTTCGCATGGGGGGGTAGAAGGAGTTCGAGTTGCTGTCATGCAAAGTGTTGAAGAGGAAGCAGTAGTAGATGACAACAGAAAGATTACTGGTATCAACAAATTAAACAATTTCGAGTTTAAAGTCGAAATTCTCGTAGCTTGGCGCGCTTATGGTATGGGAAAGGGAAAAGAGATCCCATTGGAAACAACATCAGAAGGTTAGTCTAATGAAAATTCACAATTTCATCGTTTTTTCATAGAATTGTTTCATCGCGCAAATATATATTTTTTTTACAGTTTGAGTAAAAAGGTGTTTCTTATAGCCTTCAGACGCATGAAAGGCATCCATTTCCCATCCTGGTACGCAGGAGGAGCGGATGTCTACCACCCCGTGGGGTTTTGCTTTGTAAAAGACTTAAGCCCCTTAGCCCCTTTATAAATTTATAGCGCTTAATTTGTTCTAAAAAATTTTTAAAATGGACATATGGCGGTTCTGAAGAACATGTCGTCATAAGATGTAAAAAGCAAACGTTTCATCTGTTCGCGAAGTAAAGTGGACCAAAGGGGCACTCTTCACAGGTTGTGCAGAGTGAAGTATTGAAGTAGGTGAACAGTGCTTTTTATGTAAATCTTGTTTCTTTATGTGTTATCTACTTCAGAGCATGGCATTAGTTGGCTTTCATCTGAGTTTTCTTCTGGAGTCTTTAAACCCCTTAGCCCAAAACCGACTCAGTCAAGTAAGAAGCAAGAGACGGAAGTGGAGCAGGATCATGATCATACTGACAATACAAATGAATCGTCATCCGTGTTTACCTGCCCTCAGGATGGGTGTGTTAAGGTCTTTCAAAGGCTGTCATCTCTCGAAAAACACCTATCTTTAGAGAAATGCACCAAGTCTCCAGAAACGGTCTTTGTTAGACCTTGCCAAACTAGACTACAAGTCCAGGTTGGAGGAGGGCACGACCAGTCAAGTTATTTCGTTTGCGTCTTTTAGGGATACAAGAGAGGCTACATCCGGCGAATTAGAGGTAAAAGAAGGATGGGCGCTAAAGCCGAGCAAAAAAGCATATCGCTTTAACCAAAACCAGAGGGATTATCTAAATGCGAAGTTTACAATTGGTCAAACCAGCGGCAGAAAACCAGACGGTGATATCGTAACGTGAAATGAGATGTGCACAAGGACCTGATAGTGTTCGTTTGTTCAAAGCATCCGAGTTTCTTACCCAGCAGCAGTGTACTTCATATTTCTCAGGTCTTGCAGCGAAGGTCCGACGGTAATCATCCGACGATGCTGAAATCCAAGCTGTAGTAGAAGAGGAAAACTTTATCATGGCAAGAGAAACAATCCTATCCATCACGCTACAGCACCCCATCACTTACGATCAGTACGATATCTGTGCCATGGCCAAGGGAGGATCTCTGGAGCGACTTAAACTTGGAATGCTTCAAAACATTTGTCAGCAACTAGAATTAGAAGTACCTCCCAAGCCTGTTCGCCGCAAAGCGCTCTACGTTGACCTGCTGAAAAAAGCCGTCATTAATTGCACTTGCCAGCTCCGTGGGCAAAATATGTAGAAACAGAAAGTACTACCCTGCTCACAGACGTTTTTTTGTTTTGGGAATTTGGTGCGCACAAGATAAGCGATTTGTCGTGAGAGAGGGCGGAACGCGCTTTTTTTTTTATACGTGCACTCGACGATATCTAAAAATGAAGAGAGTCTGTGAACAGGCTAGTTAAGTACACAAATCGTAGAGTTTTGCCTAAACGGTGTTCTTACTTCTCCTCAGAGGCTTGCTTCCAGGAGTGAATCATTCACCATTTGTTCTCGCCGGAATAACTAAGTCAAGAAAAAATCTATTTTGTTCATTGTTTTGCTTCCTTTACTTATTTTTGAAGTTTGTTTATGTTTAAAAGAGCGTTCCTCTTCGGAAAGTGAGATCATTTCTTGTTTGTCAGGGTGAGTCCTTGTTACAAATCAGTCAGTTACCTCTCAGCTCGTGACTATTTACACGTTATAAATGTCTCTTCCCGCTCTAACGAATCAATGACACCTTATCTTATAAATGTGAAGAGGTATTTTAGCCTGCATAACAGCCGCTTTATGAGCCAAGCGAGGTGAACGCAGCATTTGCTCGAAGCACGAAACGAGTGCGAAGCGCGAGACGAGGGATGGAGAAAAATAAAGCTTTATTTTTCTCCTCCCCTCGTCGCTTCTCGCGCTTCGCGCAAAATGCCACTTTCGCCTCGCTTGGTTCATAAAGCGCCTGTTATGCAGGCTGGAGGTATTTCTGCAAGTTCTTTGAGTTAACCAAAGACAACTTTATTTATCTTCCCTAAACAACACTTCTAGAGGTCTCTATAGAAAGCGTTACGCGCGAGAATGTGGAATTTTATAGCACTCCACATCGCGTATTCAGCCCTGCGGAGTGGTTCTCTTTCTCGCGCTCGCGGCGTGAATTGGTCATAGTTAACTCAAAGATTATTATTAGCCTCAATAGGCTTTTCAACAATTTTGAAGAGGTCTGGAAGGCTTTAAGGATGCGATAAGCACACGCAAGTTTGAAGTTGTGTTGTGGACAAGCTCTTAATGAAACTGAGAATTTCTAGTTACCTGGCTAGGGTTTCCTGGTTTTGGAGGAAAAATCATAAAAAAAAATCCAAAACAAAACTAAAGCAAGCTATTAAGTTGACTTTTCTGCTTTTTTTTTTTTTCTGTAGGGATTGTTGCAAGGTGGGAAATTCGGGAATAACGAACTTATTAAGGAACCATTTGTGTTTGAAATATTTTAGGAAATATTATACCACTCTGAATCAAAAACTGAGATGAATGTCTTTCACAGCCAGTCAGCATATGCATGTGTCCAGACCAATACAAATATATAAATCAAATAAAGCAAGAAGGTCTGTTCTGTGAAAAGTTTATATATTTTTTTACCAAAACAAAGGCCGAAAACAGAAGCTATGGAGTATTTCGTGACAGTTTGCTAACGTGACCTTGGCATGTAACCGATTTCCGTGTCAGCAGAGGTCGTAAGACCTTGTGATGGCTTGAAATCGTAACTAAACGAATTCAGAATCGAAGTCAACGGTTTCGAATGCATTTTAATTCTGCTTTTTCCCCCTGAAGAAACTATTTTAAAATTGTAGTAACGGAGTTCCGTCGAGCGATGACAGCTTCAGTTCGAAGTTGCGATCTCAACGATTTCACTGGTAGCAAAGTGGCTAAACAAACGTTTTTCAGTCGTCATATAAAAAGTTATTTACGGCTCTTACCAACACGGCTGAAAGCTAGAAATAACATTTTCACTCTAAAAACACATTATAAGCAAGGTAAGTAGTCCTTTTACACTAAACTTTGCGTTTACTATGAATTAATTCAGCGGGCCGTCTAATTTGCATAAATTTGATTAACTTAAATTCTCAAATTGCTTACTCCAGTGTTAGGGCTGCATTTAATTTCCAGAGCTAAAACGTTCCCGTAATTTACTTCAATAGCCAAGGCTTTATTCTACATGGGTTTTACTAGGAAGCGACATATACCAGAGGGCTTTTACAACAGTTAAAGTTCGCTTTCATTTTCTAACATTTCAAGAGACACAAATATGACCTTTTTAAACTTGTCGATTGTAAATGTTAAAAACTTCTTTCTTCAAATTTTTCTTTTAGGATTTTAAAGATTAAGAACGAAATAATACTCGGCTGAAGTTTCGATGTTAGGGATTGTTTCTTGTGCGTTCACCGTTTTCTCGAAGTTGCGGTCGGATTCTGTTGTTTTTAAGCGCGAAAAGACAGCAATAAATCGATTTTTCAAACTTTTTGTTATTTCTCCCGTACAATGAAACGCTTGAACCCAAAACTATTTTTTCTTGAATTAGGTCACTAAAAGGGATGTTTTGGCAAAAGAAAAAAAATTCCAATTTTTTACGAGTGTCTTGCGATTTTCGATTTTCTCGGAAAATGGCTCTTAATACAATACTACTTGCAGCATCAATATTCAAGATTAAAGTAACAAAGAAACTAAGAGATTTTTAGGGCAATAAGATATCTTTTTCTTACCTCGCATGATCATGCAGGTTTTCTTAGAGAATCCTTAAGATTTTGCTTTCAAATTTATCATTAGGTATTTGTCGACGTCTGAAGTTTACTACAACAGTTGATGGATATGCTCTCAAAGGTCATGTGATCAAGAATATCTCCTTCAAAGCTGCTATTCATCTGCACAGTCATTGTAAAAACCTATGTATAATGGAGGATACCTGTGTATCTATCAATATAGGTCTCTTAAAAGGCCGATTTCTTTGCCAGCTGAGTAACTCTGACCACATAAAAGATCCAGGAGATCTTGAGAATGAGGAAGGATTCACGTATAGAGGCAGAGAGGGGAGCAACCCGCTCAATAACACAAAGGTAAGCAAATTTATATCAAATTCAGACGATCAGGTCTGCTAGTGGTCGATGCCAGGATCTGTTCACGTACAGGAGCAGAAATGACTTCATGTTGCTGTGATCTGTCAGAGTACAGGCGCAGCACTGAAGTCACGTTTCTATGCGTCGTTAAAGCGCAAAGAAAACGTTTTAAAAGCCATGCAGTTTGAAGTCAGTTCTTTATTCTCCTTGCCGGTAAACTGTTATCAAAAAACAAAACTAGGAAAAGAGGCCCGAAAGTGAAGCATTAAAGAAAAAACCCTTTCTTCTCTCTTTGCCAACATAATTTAAGATAATGGACAGTTTTGGAAATCCAATCTTAATTGGAAGACAACAAGGCAATGACAATTGAGAAGAGCCAAGAAACTTAGCAATATTAAAGAGGGGGTGAATACAGATTTCATTTGGAAAAACTTAATGAAAAATTGATGAAATTGAAAAAAAATACATAGAAAAATTTGATGCAATATCTTTGTTTTTTCATCAGTATATTACATCACAGCATTAAGATGGAGATCACCTTTTTTCAGCGTGTAGCCATGATTATAGTACTCAGTCATTTTCTTCTTTATAAGCACTTCTATCAAAATCTAATAGAACAACCTAAATCAAAAAGAAAATATGTTTATGATTAAAGTTGATTAAGCTATACTTTTGGTTTGGTTTCAGAGCGCGTGCCACACCAGCCCGTGTCTAAATGGAGGCACATGCCAACCTGGAATAACGGTTATGGACTATACATGTGTCTGTCAATCCGGCTTTAAGGGAAAAGGATGTGAAAAAGGTAAAAGTTACGTCAGTTATGATAAGTAGCAAAAGTAGTTCGCACGCCTCTGGATCCCCACCCCCTCCCCAGCACCCATTTGTCGGCGGCCGACAACCCTCCGATCAACAGAAATCATGTAATTCATCTGAAAAAAAGAAACTTGAAAGCCTCCTTCTCCCTCCAAACAATATTGCCTGGAATCGGTGAGCAATTTGATAACATCAATGAAATGGGGGGAAGGAGAGAGAAATGAATTTTACAGAAAAAATTCAAAATGTAATAGAGCGTACCATTTATTGTAGTTAAATATTGCTGACATTGTGTATTTTTATTGAAGCATCGCGACGACTTATAATCAATTCTCGTGAAGTAATCATTAATTTTAATTAGTCGGTTGTCATTGATGCAAGCGAGCCCGTTGTAACATTAAACAATGAACACGAGAAAATTACGCGCTTATGATTGGCTAAAAACGAGTACATTCTCATTTAACACGAGTGCAAATTATAAATAGCGTCGTCTATCTTACCTTTTTCTGATGCTTTTTTCATGTACTTCATTACCAAGTAATAACATGATTTCTCTTGCAACTTGGTGTACTAAGCACTGTCATTGAAAATTTTTATTCCTGTTTATCAACACCAAAATGCAATCGATATCATTTTACTACCTATACGTATAAAAAGGTCAAAATCTGTTTTTTTTTCTTTGCTTA